TTTAATCTTGATTACTTTCAATCATGACTACATTTGTAATCATTAGTTTTGATTACAATAGTCAGTAATCTTGATTACATGGGTAGATTTGATTAATTTTTTAAACATATTTTTAATAAATGCGGTTCTATATTCAATCAGTATGTATCTTGTATGTCTGAGTTTTTCTAAAAACTTCTGATCCAATTTGGATGTCATGGACGTTTTGTACTCTTTCGTTATTTAAATCCTTAAGTAAATTCGAAAAAGAATTTCTGCGTGCTCAATTGCATTTCGAAGATATGGCACGCGGGGTGCGGGAGTTGGGTGGGGTACGGGGTACGGCCGGTAAGCCATCAAAATACTAATTCAGAATCTGAAACCGTGCACCATGAACAACTTTAGACATTACCATGCATTCTTGATGGAAATTTTTTTACGTATTCAGAAATTTGTACATTATGTCGGCCAAAACTAGTTAAAATTAGTGGTTTTAATAATTCTACACCAAATTTTGTAACTCAATTCCTAAATGTAGTTAGTATGCATCAATCAAAAAAGTAATCAAAAAAGTAATCAAAATTACGATTACATACTAATAATCATTAATCACCGATATGATTACTTTCTTGATTACTTTCCGTAATCTGTAATCTTGATTGATGATTACAAAATGTAATCGTAATCCTTAATCATTAATCTGATTACAATTTGCCCAACTCTGCCCTGGAAGCTACCCTATTTAGTTATTATTTTTGTGTTATACATATGTTCTTGGCTTCTTTTAGAAAACGGAGATGATCTTCTTCGGATTTTCGAAAATTCTCGTTTCACTGGCTGCTGCATATCGTATCGCGGGTTCGATTCTCGCACGGAACAACTACTTGAGTGATACACAGATTGTTGTTCCGGGTCTGGGTGTCATATGTATGTGAACTTGTATGTATGTAAATGCACCCACGACACAGAAGAAAATATTAGTACGAGGCAACATTAAAAAAATGGTGATGGTTTCCGTATTACTTGTTGATGTGTAATATTTATGTAATTCCTTTATAACTGCACAAATATTTTATTTATTGATGTATTTACTAACTCTTTCATGCACACACAAATAAAGTACATAAGGCGGACTTAATGCCATATGGCATTTTTTTCCAGTCAACCTTTGGGTTAAGTAGAGGATCAGCGATAATAGGCTAGTGTAATGCAGTAAAATAAAGAATAATAAATAAATAATAGTAATTAGAAATACTGTATAACATATTTAGGGTAGGCAGAGGTGTACACTGTAACAATGTAACACCCACTTTTCACTATTTATGTTATGAGTCCCATGTAATAGGGGGTGAGCCTATGGCCATTTACCGGACACAATTCCAGACTCCGTGTTACTACTAAGATTTTTTGAAAAAACCCATTAATACTTTGCCCGACCCGGGAATCGAACCCGAGCCCGGTAGTTGCACTTGCGAGCACTCAGCTAACGAGGCAGTCATTAAAATATATAGCAGAATATAAAATATAAAATAATATAAAATTTCAAGGTTGTAATGAAACACACACCAATATTATAAAATAACATTTTTATTTCGTTCATCGTAATTATCATTGAAGCCAGATCGATTACATATTATTACATACATCCACTTATTGTTAAATAAACAATTACGTCACTTATAACTAACATTTAAACACATTGTAACATTAACATACGAAATCACATTCGTCTGGCACTCTAGTCATATTTTATGACTTCAATTCCATACAATTTTATTCCACACATCAATTTATAAATTTATAAATTCTTACATTTATCTATCGGTGGTAATTAAAAAAATATTCTTTTTAGCAATTTATTAATGAAGAAAAGAGAAATAGGAGAAAAGAAGTCAGTGTTTAAGAGAACATAGATAAGTTAGTACCTACTTATTAGTTAAAGGACACAATCTAACATATTTTTTTAATATCAGTATTTTCCATTTTTAAATAGTAATCTAGCGACATCTATTACATTCGAAATGACATTTCGTTTAAATCTAGAATTTATGATACAGTATGTTCTTAAAAATATTCTATGACACTTTTATTTATTTATCAGTGGACAACATGGAACATTTATTGAAAAGAAAAACACAGAATTATTAAAAAAATAAATACATTTACTAGATAATTATGTCACAACAACGATATTACGATAGCAGAAATGTTAAAAATTACAAGCTAACTCGAAAAGCGCAACCCAATTGTTTTTCCCATTCGACACGTCTAATGCATTATAATGCCTAAGAGTTTTTCACCCTGTATTATCCATAACGCGTTTTCCATACAGTTTACGTAATATAGATAGCATGTACATTCATTACTTACATAATTTCAAATCAAAATTTACAGGGTACTCCTCGGTCCATTATTTTTCCTCCTTCGCTTGCCTTTCTCAAATAAAAATCTGCTTTATATTTAAGCTAAGTAAAGTTGATATTCTGTAACAACGGCATAACGTAAACTGCGTATAAATAACTTCAACGATAAAAATTTAATGAGCGGTTAAAACTGAACAAATAAATTGAACTATGTTTTATTATACGACAAAGATTAACAGAATAGAGAAACTTAAATAACACGGCAACATTTAGTTCTTCAATAGCTTCAAGTGAAAGAAAGTTCGAGCAATATTAGATGAGTGAAGATACTTCTAGAAAAGAATTCAGCTTATCAAATACATCTACTCCAACAAAAGTTCCACTTTTTAGTACAAAAAATATGATTATAATTATTACCGAGTAATATTTACAATATATTTCGCTATCATTGATCAGTTTCCATTTTATCTATAACATACATTCGAATACAGTATAACATCTATTTATAATTGTGGTATAATAGACAAATATTTCTGTTTCATGCTTGTCGTACGGAATTTTGGCTTCAAAGAATTTATTTATAAAAATCAAACAACCTGTACATTAGCAACATCTAATAAAATAAATTACACAATAAAAATTCGTAGATATTATTGCACATAAAGGACCAAAGTCTATATGATAAAATAATCAATTCTAAACTGTCAAGTTAAACAGATAAAGTTTAAATTCCCTGAAGCCCATCGTCAACAAAGTCATGAACTAACTACTGTTTTGGTGTTTGATCCTTTTTGCTGGCCTGGACGGACTAGAAGTCCTCAGGAACTCTTAAAACTAAATTAATTTTACTTATTCCTAATGCCTCACTGGCTTACTTAAATACTGATTTAATTACTTTGGTATCAGGTTTAAAATTAATTATGTAAAATGTAGATGAGATCTTTAGTGACTGTAGAATTACCTAAATTGAATTAGTCGGAATTAGGAATTCTTTGGAAGTCTCTTTGATTTGATTTAACTCTTTGGATTTAGTTGAACAACTTACCTAATCCTAAATGAATTAGTTAGGTCCTAGTTTGAGATGTAACAAAATAACGATCTTTTATTTAAATAAAGAAATGAGGTATTTTGTTTCGTTCTCAATCTGTGTGAACAAAGAAAATGAAACAGGGGTTCTTATATTAGTACTTAGATTTATAAAGACTTCAAGTTGATTGCACGATGATCCTATATTAAACAGAAAATAAATACAAAACAATCTTACGCTAAAAGTTGTTAGGTATTATTTGTTTTTACTTTATAATAAAATGCAATATCATAAACTATACTATACTAAAACCAACAGTATAACAATGTGGGCAATTATTATTAAACAGTTTAATTTGAATGTCTACCATATTAAAAAAAAACAAGTTCTCGTGCAATCAACTTTAGCAATTCTTATGGCCACGTTATTAATAGTTCTTATAATAACAATATTTTAATTTGTTATAATGGAAAATATCGATCAAATTATTCAATAGCAGCTCACTTACAATATTTAAAATACTCGTTTTGACAGCTGTCAAACTTGACAGGTGTCAAAATAAGTACCCTAGTCTGCCATTGGTTAACCGAACGAATTCTCCATTTAAAAAGCATTAGCTTTCTCTAATAAAAATTAAATTCCTTTTGCATCGAATCCGTATGTACAGACTTAGAGTTAATTAGATTCTACGATGTATTTTCGTTCTTCTGGTCTAGTAAATTAGGTTTCTATTTGATGTTACCGGTGCCGATGTTATTGTCTAATGCATGCAATGCTCATAAGGCAATTTTATATTCTTTGTGCCATAGATAATTCTATTGTTCGCAAGTGATTCATCAATCATATTTCCGATATTTTCCGATAAGATGTACAAGATGAATTTGAATTATTGCATCTAAATATTTTTTACGTAAGTATGGTATTACTAGTAAGATAAATAGACGATTATTAAAAAGTATTTAAATTTAATTAGTCCATCGTTTTAATTATTTCTTAGTCTTTACGACGAAATGAGTAAGAACTCTTAAAATCTAGAATTAATTAAAATTTCTGTCGCGTAACCAAATTGGGTAAAAAGAGAAAACTGTACATTTTTATTTTCTTAAAAATAATATGTTTGTGCTAAATTATTATTATTATTATTAAATACATCAATGCTTATTATTCATTTTGGTATTCCATTCAAATTTATTTTTTATTTATTATAATAATTACTTTCACCTAGCGTCTCAAAGTCGTTACTAAGAAATTATGATTTAATTATTAAATATATCACTTTTTTTACTTTATTTGAAAATATATTATACATTTCACATCAATTCCTAACGTTATGTTAATGTACAATGTCTATTTTTTATTTTATAATTTAATGAAAATAAAATATTTTCAAATTAACAAAATATTTATTATTTTTACCGGGAATTAGGTACATACAATGTCAGAATTTACATTTTCATTTTTAAAAATAAAATTGATTGTATTTTTTTATTTTATTAAAATTTTGATTATTTGACAGGCACATTGGTATTGAAGAAAACGGAAAATACAGTGCCAAGAGTTTAGAGAAATTGACAAGTATGAGTTAAGACTAGATTGAAAACTTTGGTAGAAATGGTAATTTGTCTAGAATTCTAGATATAAGTGCTAAGAGCTTGCCTGAAGTCGTGAAGAGCTGCTAGGAGCTGAGGAGCTGTTGGTCTGGCTAGGAGCTAAGGTCCAACACCAAGACATTAAGCCGTACCTGGTAATTAGAGAAAACAGTTGATAAATACATCAATTTCAGCATTTTTGTCATGTAAGTATCGTAAGACATAATTAATATAACATCACGCCTTTTATCTAAATAGAAGAAGCAAGAGGTGCACAATACGGCACTTACAGCCACTGTCCAATGTAAAACCAACTTCACTATTTTATGTTATGAATCCCATGTAATAAGGGGTAAGCCTATTGCCATATACCGGGTACAATTACAAACTCCGTGCTACTACTGAATTTTTAAAAAAACTTTTCCGACCCAGAATCAATCCCGAGACTTCTTGCCCAGCAGTCGTACTTGCGAGCACACGGTCAACGAAGCAGATGTATTAAAATGATAATTATTAGGTTATAAGACACGTCGGTTGTCGTGCATACTTTTTGTTATTAAGGGTGACATGGCTTGAGACTAGTCAAATAGATGTGTCCATAATATAATAGTTAAATAAGTAAGCCGTATAACCTAATTAGTCCAATCGAGTAATTGAATTAAAACCACATTTTTTGCCAGTTCTATTATAAGTCGTATGTAATAAAGTACAAGATTGTGTGCGTGATAAGACCGAAGACCGCCCATTGTACTCAAATTACTATTATAATGGTTACAATTTTTTTCTGTGTGTGCAATAAAGTATAAATAAATAAATAAGATTGAAAATAGTCTTGTACGGGAATTGAAGTAAACAAGAAATATACTGAGTAAGTAAAATATTTCAAAACAAACAGAGAATCTTTGTAAAATGAAAAGGAATGTACCTATATAGATACCAAAAACGTCACTGGCAATGAAAAGTCTTTTAGTAAATTGCATTTTCGCTTACGGACTTTCGAAGTCGACACTTTCGAACGCCTTTTAAACCGGATTGAAATTTCAAATCGGTTCAACATTTATACTGGTGTGACTTACTCAGGGATTGCTAAATAAGTAATGTAATTTTTTTAAGGGGGGAAAATCATCGAATGACTGCTCCCGCCTGGGTGAGGCGGGAGGGAGTGTCAGACTCTTACTGACTAAAAACCACTCCGTTCCTTCTCCTGCACATCGAGCCGGAGCCCCGGTAACCCGTTAGGTTCTCCGCTATTACATGGGATTCATAACATAAAATAGTGAAAAGTGGGTGTTACATAGTACAGTGGCATTAGGTGCCGTAATGTGCACCTCTGTCTACCCCTTTGGGGATAAAAGGTGTGAAGTTATGTTATGTGACCGTAGAAAATAATAGAATAAAATACGTACAATTCATCAGGACAGTTGTGCGGCTGCGAAGGTCGGTATCCTCCACTCAAGAACGCTCCTACGTCAGCTGCATCAAGCTCAGCCAATGGCGACGCGCCAAGAGTTGCCAGCTCCCATAAAGTTATTCCTAATGACCACTGTACAAGGAAAAAATATTTTACAAATAATTATAGTAAATAATGATTTCTATTTTTTATACAAATTTGTAATGACAAATTTGTATAAAAAATAGAGATGATAAATATATAAAATTGACTATTTTTAGGGTAGGCACCAAAGACGTTGCAAAATATGCTGACATACTTAGAAAATAATAATTAAATCACAAAAATTTCAGTAGTTTTTAGTGTTTTCAATTACTTTTAACATGTCATACCATAGATTCTTATATTTTTTAAACAATTTTCTGTCTGCTTTCCTTTTTTTGTTTTCCTTTAATTAGGTCATTTAGGTACACATTACAAAACTATTAACCACTTTTTAACCATCTAATTCATTAGACCAAACGTTACAAATATCGCAATTTATTTATCGACTTCAAAAAGAAAATTATAACCTCCTTTTTTGAAGTCGGTTAAAAAAGAGGTTATCAGTTTTGACCTGTTTTGTGCGCACACGCATTATCGCACGTTCGACTGAACCAATTGTGATGCGGTTTTCAAAAAAGTAGGTTTTGGTACTTAAATTAGTAAATCAACTTCAAGCAAAGACGGACTTGAAGTCGGTATTTTTAAACATAGTTTATGACAGGAACTATTAATCATCTAATTCATTATTCCAAAAGCAACAGTTATTAAAATTCTTACCACATCGGAAGCTGTAGTGTACTGATTTTGTAGCAGTGTCTCAGGAGCCATCCATTTGACGGGGCGGTTCTCATTGTCCCAAACAATGGTAGTCATCAGGAAACAGATCCCTTGATAGACCATTATCAGTCACCTTCAGCCTTAATTTCTCGTCCACCCTTTACAAAAATATGTTTTGTTAAAATTTTTCATTTTGGGGTCATCAATTAATGGAAACAGTAGAGACTTTGCTTGTCCTAGGAAAGGTGGTATTTGATAAATAGTTAAGATAAGGGTGTTTCGATATTGTTTTTTCAAAAAGAAAAATATATATCCAAATTCTAATCAAATCTATATAATCGATATTTTGAGCCAATCATATCAATTATTTTCGAGTTTTAAAAATGTATCTAGTTATTTTGAGGAAATCTTTGCATAGAATTAAGTAACAAAACGATGGACTAAGATAAGTTTCAATTTACTAATAAATACGACAAAACACAATTTTAACTTTCATACACTACTATTTAAGAAATTTGAGCTTTTCAACAATAAAACTCAAAACAATGTTTACTTACACACAATTCCTGGCGGCAATGTCAGCGTGTACTAATCGCTGAACGTGCAAGTATGCCAGGCCACAGGCCACTTGAGCTCCTAAGTCCACTAACTCTCTTGTAGCCGGGGCCGCCTGGTGGCCTAGCCGACATGATGTTAGGAACCTAAATAAAGAGATCGTTGAAACGTGCATTTCTTAATTTGATACTTATGTGTTTAATAATATAGGGTTCAAATTGAAATAAACTGGTTAAGAAAACACCACAGGATATAAAACTTACTCAAAAACAAATTTTGTCACTGAATCTTCTCCATATGAATCTATACTTTGGAATGAGCGAATAGCTTCACTTTAAATTTTTTTGTTGACGTTCAAAAGTGCCTTTGTAGTCTAATTGAAATAAATGATTTTGACTTTGACTTCGACTTTAAATTCGAAGAAAAATAAAATGAAATAATTATCAATTATTTTCTCATTCGAAAAAGAAACTCAAAATATTATCTAGATGGAATACACACAATAAGACCAATAGGTTAACCTCGCCCTATACGCATTTTAATTATGTAAGTACTAGCTGATACCCGCGACTTCATTCGCGTGAAATAATTCATATTTCTTATTAATTTATACTTTTTTGACGCGACAACGTGTTGATTGGCGAGGCGTATTTAATAGCTAGTATGAAACGGAACGTTTATTGTCTACTCAAGATGGCGACTGCGGTTTATATGTCAGTGTCATTAAAATGAATTAATAAAACATAATAATCTCCGTAATCCGAATTTTGCGGATATAAGTAGTCGACTCGAAATCGATATTTTTTAGGTTTTGTTATTCAAGTAATGTTTCAATCGAGTCTGCCGCACCTCTTATCGAATTTATTAATATAGATAGATAGATATCATTAATTGTCACCTTTTAAGATTTGAAGAATGTGAAGGACAGCAATAAACTAGAAGTGGCTTCCTCGCTTCCTCAGCACAGGCGGCCATTGGTGTTAGCACATTTGTATGAACTAGACTGTATAGACGTAAGCCTTCAGCCACTAGTAACGCTGCTTGCATTGCTGATGCCGCATCTAGGAAAAGGAATTACCCATGTTAGTTTACTGCACATTTTTAAATAAATCGTATGTACAATTGTGCAGTCAATCAAGTTATTTATTTGGTAATATGTAAAAGAATTATAATTAAATCAGAACAGAATCTGAACAAAATATGCTCTTATAAATGATATGTTTTACTGTAGACAATATTTTTTTTTTAATAAAAACGTTGCCGACACTAGGATTTTCCCCTGTGTCGTGGCTGCGTTTACAAACATATAATTTCACATACACATAACACCCACAGACTCGGAACAACAATCTGTCGATCACATAAAGAGTTGCTCCGTGTGGGAATCGAACCCGCGACACATTGCGCGGCAGCCAGTTGTCCAGCCACCGCGTCAACCATCCATAAAATGTTTTGTTACCATTAGTTAGTTTTTACAGATAAATAAATTTTAATTGTAATTTAAGTACTTAAATAATTCTTACGTATCTATAAAAATATCACATCTACATAAATCTACGAATTTAAAAATGTTCATAATGATTTTATCCTACAGAAAGTTGTAGGATAGCTGTTAAAATTTTCCGCCTAGCATACACAATCTCACGGCTTATCTGCCGAGATGAGATCAAAAGCAATCCTGTTAGCATAAAATGATATTCACATGAACCATTTTCATATAAAGCTTGCATCCAATTTGAGTTGCAATTTTTATCGGTTCGTGATTCTGTTAACGGTTGTGGTATATTCCGTATATCATATAATCGCTATAGGCAATGATATTTTTGTGTTATTATCAAACTTTATTTCAATGAAATTGATTTAAAATACTGTATGTTTCAATTTTAAAGGATCTAAAAATAGATACTACAATTCAGTTGATTCAAACAAGAGGACTATGGATAGCTTTTGCGGTTTAACTAACTATGACGACATCAAGAGAACGAAATTGTTTTAGAAAATATTTAAATTAATTAAGGAACAATTAAATGATCTCTTCATCTTATTTTGAAATATACATCCAGCCATTATTTTGTTACAATGCCAAAAATAGCTGGTGATATCTGAGCTGAATTTACCCTTGGATAAATTGTTGATTAAACAAGGATTTAATTTTAAACAATTTGTGGAAAGTCAAGGTCAATATCAAAAGTGAATTGGGCACTAAAATAGCCATTGTTGCTAAGCAAGTGATTGCGAATTTTGGTAAATAAGAGTACTACAAATTAGCAACTCTATCAACTATGTATCTAAGTCGTAATTAGTATATCAGAAACTAACCGGTAACAGTCTTGACAACGACTTCTTCATAAGTGTCTCCTCTCTTAAAAACTCCTTTGTAGACCCTGCCGAAGGTGCCTTCGTGGACGAGGATCTCTAGCCGAATGTTGGAGCGAGGAGTCGTGAGGAGTCGGAGCTGTTCGGCAGGATCCGTGATACGGTCTTTGGTTATTGTTTGCTGTAACAAATGAGGTAATTTAGTATGGTTATTAATTGCTATGACCCTAGATTTTCCTTTCTTTACGTTGTCACAATTTTGATCTGCAACGGTAAATCTTACTTGCATGTGTTATTTGCGACAATCCAGACTATGCGCAATAGATATCACTATATGTGTCCAATATGACTATGCATATAGCATTACTCACTAAGCGCTAAAATATTATGAAGTCTGTGTTTCACTGGGGATATAAATACTAAATACACTAGCAGCCCCAATACTCGTGATCGCGAGACAATCTGGGGCCACCGCAAGCACGAGCCTGTGGCCCGAGCGTACGACGCATCGCGTTTCGCGCGCGCCTCAAGTAGCCATCACACCACTACAGACGGGGCCCAACAGTTCTGATGCCGATACGGAGCCGCGGAAGACTTAACGGGTTGCCGGGGCTCCGGCTCGAAGTGCAGGAATAGGAACGGGGTGGTTCTTAGTCAGTAAGAGTCTGACACTCTCTCCCGCCTCAACGAGAAGTCATTGGATGATCCCCCCCCCCAAACCCTAATACTCGTGTTTTCATGTAAAACCTTTTATTACGTTTTGAATTGACATATTGAATTGAACTAAGTATTAAATAGACTCCCACAAAAACAAAACAAGACACCAAAAATTATCAACTCTTTACAAACAACCCATCACAAAATATTACACAGAACTATTACTGCTAGAAGTGACAACGTTGGAACGTCCTTAGTTAGGTGCAGGTGCGCACACATAATTGCATTGAGCAGGACGACGTCCAACGATATCCTTAATCGAGTTTGCGAGGTAGCGAGCGATGCAAGGTGTTGCAGTGTAGCGATTTTGTTGGAGTGCTTTGATAGTGCAGCAAAGTGGGTTGGTAAATAAATAATGCTATAATAAAAAGGACGTCACTTGTTCTCGTGTTGTGGGATGTATTGTTTGAAAGCTTTTGAAAGAGTTGGGTTTGTGAGTGAGTGTTGCTTTGTTTTAAAATGACAGGTTGTGCAATTTTGTAGTCTTTTATAGCCTTTTACACTTAGTAATCGGATCACTTTGTAATTTATTGAGTTATTCGATCTTTTAGCTAATTGTTTAATAACATAACATCACGCCTTTTATCCCCGAACGGGTAAGCAGAAGCGCATATTATGGCACTTAATGCTACTGTTCAATATAATATCCACTTTTCATTATTTATGTTATAAGTCTTATGTAATAGAGGGTGAGCTTATTGCCATATACTGGACACACTTTCAGATTCCGTGCTAATACTGAGACTTTTTCAAAAATCTAGTAATTTTTTGTTCGGCCCTGGAAGTGAACCCAAGAGTCCTTGCCCGGCAGTCACACTTGCAACCACTCGGCCAACGAGGCAGCTAATTGTTCTGGTTACTAAAAGTATTACGATACATACTAAAGAGAAAAGATACAGAAAGATACTGTTGATAAACCTCCTTTACTACTTTACGATATTACTTAGGAAACTTAGGTTTAGGACCGGACGGTATAATGGAACCTTTGTTATGGATCTATGCGCAGTAATCTAGAGTAATAGATAAAACAAGATATAATCCTGTTTTCGGAAGAGTGACGCTGCGATAATTAAAAACACCATCAAACACAGTTTCATTTCTTTTATTTTGTTCTCACAAAAATCCCAATTAGGAAATAAAATCCAACCCAGAAGTTCACAAAATCATCTTTCGAATAAAATTTCAACGGCTTTGTATCGAAAAACCGTCTCGTTTAATAAGGAACTTCTTATTTACACCTCCGTTCATTAGCGTTCTCCTCAGTAAGGATACTAATTCATATTTCCTCCGAAAGACTTTCAACGGTGCGATAAATTTACGGACAAAGGGAGATTGCAAATTAAAAACTCGGTTCCTTGCCAAGATCAATAATTACACGACTAGTATTGATGGAAGAGCCTTGAGCGAAGAATTGTGTTTAGTTGGAACGGTTACATTTTTTTGTTTTATTTTTTGGTGATAGTGTTACCAATCGGTAAAGACAAAGACTTTAGATCCAGTCGTGGATCAGCCAAATAATTTTTTTAATATTTTTAGAAGAAATTATAACTCGTATTTTTCATGGAAATAAGAATAGATACTGAGAAATAGATATAATACAAAATTATCTTCTGTAACTTGAATATTGTATTATTTATACCTTTCTTATTTATTTTGCTGAATAGGTAAATATGTTTATGAGAACACCTGTACCTACTTACAGTTTCTGACTTGGGTATTTTGAACAATGCATACACAAACTCAGGAAATAAAGTAGTTAGGTATGCATATATGATAATGTATTACCTATTTATCACATACCCGACCCGAAAAAACAATATGCCCGACCCAGGTATCGAACCCGCGACCTCTTGCTCAACATTGACAATAGCAACCATTTCACCTCTTGCCTACCTAAGTAGAGAAATACAAAAGTAATAAAAAAGGGGTTATTGCAAGAACTGTTATTACAAAACGAGTTTTTTGTTGGTCTTGCGTCTACCGTGACAAACTATTACCTGAGTGAAAGTGCCCCCAAATCGAATGTAGTGCGGTATTTCGATGCAACATTCATCAGCTCCGATAGCCGTGATCGTCTAGTGGTTAGGACCCTACGTTGTGGCCGTAGTAACCCAGGTTCGAATCCTGGTCACGGCAGTGGTAACACTGTCTCGGCGGAGCTTTTTGATATTTTATTCAGTATTTTTTTTGTAAAATTACAGTGTTTTAGTGAAGAAATGACCACGAGCACCTTTCATAAAATATGATATAAATTTATTTCGTGTTACGTATGTATGTATAGATGCAAAGGTAGAATGCGGGCTGCGCCCCGCTTCTCCGCACCGCAGCGCATGAAGTTTTAGAAAAATAAACCAGTGTGCAACTGACTAGCGCGTTTAATTGGCGTGCGCGTCGTTCCCTTACAAGTAATACATAACATTACGAAAACTAACAATTTCGTTTATTTTCAAATGTGTTAAAAAAGGAACTTACTTCTTAAATATTTAATATTTTCTATACCCAAAAACAAAACTTAACAAAAATACAAAAAAAGTAAAAAACAAACCTGTCTATTTTATACTCAGTCCACGTAAATAAAAGTTGCCACATCTAGTTTAAGTAAGTCTGTATTCAATACTTGGCTTAGAAGAGCGCTAATTGCATTACGTTTGTATCACCTGCAGGGGAGGCGATGTAACTCGTCTTAAATTGAATTCCTAATGAGGTAAAGGGCACTGTTTATGCACAATATTGTACCTAGCCCCTAAAACAGGGGTTCCCAACGTTTTCTTGGTCAGGGACCACTTTGACATAGTTTTTTTCGGCAGGGACCACTATTTAGTTATTAATTAACTAAATTTTGGTGTAGTAAAATAAACTGTAATAATCAAACTGAAACTTTAATTCAAACTCTAATATGAATTACATAAAAAGAAATAATAACATTTTGGGATAAACTTTCGTAATTTTAAATTAATGCGATTTCTGAGCTTGCATCTTCTTCACGAGTTCGGCTATCCTAGGACTGATATTGTTACTCAGAGCCACACGTAAATCATCACTTACTTTCAAACGATTTCTCGCCTTGTTTTTTAATACCAGCAAAGCAGAAAATCCTTGTTCACATAAATAAGTGGTTGAGAAAACGATAAAATAGCGTAAGGCGATTTCTCGAAGTTTAGTATAAGAAAGTGCTTTTTTACACCAAAATGACTCAAGTGAATTCGATTCAAAAGCATCCTTGCAGTTTCTGTCATTTTGTAATTCAATGAGCTCTTCTTGGATTTCTTCTGTAACTTCACTAGCGTCCGTGCTAAAAGGGTTACGAATCATTTTTTGATCAAGATTAGTTTCTTCGTTATATTCTGGGAAGTAACGATTGAATTCATCAATCAACATATGTAAATGAGTCTTAATGTTTTCTTGAATATTTGCTGTAAAAGGGTCATACTTTTTGTCTTCCACAAGTGATTGTAATGTCGCAAACGCAGAATAATTATTTTCTTCAATTTTACGTAACCACAATTGAAGTTTGCAGATAAAAGCACGAAGTTTATCTTCAAAAATGAATATATTTGCGACATTCTCTAAGATTTTATTTCCAGAACCTTGCAGTTGTATATTTAATTTATTTAAATGTGTGAAAATATCCACAAGATACGCCAAGTCCATCTGACATGCCAGACTAGTAAATTGTTTCAACAAATCATTATTTTTTTTGTCACCCAGAAAAATCTCAACCTCTGCTCTCAGTTCATATAATCTTCCCAGCATATTACCTTTCGATAGCCATCGAACTTCGGTATGAAAGAGAAGTGTCTCGTGATCAGAGTCCATTTCAGTGCATAACTTTTTGAAAAGTCGTGTATTTAAGGCGCTGCTTTTAATAAGATTTACAATTTTTATGGCCATTTTTAGTGTATCATTGAGGCATCCAGGAAGAGTTTTTGAAGCCAACGCCTGGCGATGTATGATACAGTGCGTTGTAATTACATTAGGATTTTTCTGTTTTACTAATGTCGCCAGCCCGGAACGTGATCCCAACATTGCTGGAGCACCATCGGTACAGAGGGCAGCGAGTTTATCCCACATAAGATTATGTTTCTCGAAAAATTCGGATATTGAGTTCATGACGTCGATACCTTTTGATGTTGTGTCCAGTTCCCGTGAAATCAATAACTCTTCTTTAATTATGTTGTCGTCGTCTAAAAAGCGAACAAATACAAGTAGTTGACAACAATTTGAAATGTCGGTCGACTCATCACACTGCAAAGCGAAAAATGGCGATTTTTTTATTCTTGACACAAGTTGCTCCTCTATATCACTTGACATAAGCTCAATTCGAGCTTTGACCGTGTTATTGGACAGAGGTATGTCTTGTATTTTTTTCTTGGCCTCTAATCCCAAAACTTCTTCGACGGCTTTGATCAAACAAGGTTTTACGAGTGTTTCTCCAACTGTGTGTGGCTTTTTAGATTGTGCTAT